GGACCGGTTCAGATCGGTTAACACCGATTTGACCCAAATAATGTTATTTTAATCCCGGTTCAGCCCATTTTTAAATCGGTTCAGTTCTTATGTTAAGGTTTCAGCCCGGTTCATGATTTTAATGATATTTTCAGTTAAATTTCCGGGATTATTTCAGTTCCGTAAATTCATGTCCGATCAGTTCATGTCAGTTTAGTTCCGGGTTATTCCGGTTAAGTCTAAATATCATGTCAGGTTCAGTAGAGCATCTTAACGAAATTAATCAGTTAAGTTAACAGTCTGAGCATAGTCATTAGTAATTGTTTATATTATTTTATTTTCAGTTTAATCAGGCATCAGCACTACCGTTCAGTTCAGCAGTTCAGGTGGGGACTCAGACTAAGTACTACATTGATTATAATTACGGTACCATGTTTGAGGTATGTATTTCATGTGAGGTATCCGCTCGGAATGGTCGCCGGTCCATTCTGGGTTCTAGTGGCCCTAGTCTGCCCACTAGAGTGTGCACATGGTGTCCGACATTAGTTTTTGCCGGCAGATGAGGTAACGGTCAGGGTCACGTTTGCGTGACGATTTCAGATTCATGTTCATGTTATTACCGGCTGGAGGTTGAGGTTATGTATATGCCGATATCATGATGTTGTTATTATTTTCAATGTTTACATTAGTATGAGTTTCCACGGAGCACAGTGCCATAGTGCTCATTTCCCACTGTTATCATGTTTTTCAGGTCAAGATGTCGGGCAGGGAGCGTGAGCAGAGAAGGACTTCAGGACTTTCATGTTTTGATTGTATATATGTGATGATGATTTACGTTTCCGCTGATGATGACTTTTGACGAACTTATATTTTGACGGACTTTTGGAAAATTTTATGCTTTCAGTAATCATAGGATTTTATTAAAAATTAAAATAACAGTTTTCCAAATTTAAGTCACGTTTTTAAGGTAGCACCCCGAATCAGTTTTCGCAAAGTAAAAGATTTATTTTTAAAAGACTTTGCGAAGTTTTCGCACTCTGATTTTAATGATAAGGAGGGGTGTTACAATTGGTATCAGAGCACGTTTCTGCGTCTCTGAAAAGTTTTTCAGTCAGTAATTTTTCAGGAAAACCTGAATCGTCATGCTCACGCCCCGCCGACGACAGGTAAGTGCTGATTTATGTTTTAAGTTATAAACATATTACTATGTCTATGCTCAGAATTATGGATCAGGACCTTAGTTAAGATGCTCGAATCAGGATCAGACTATAGTATTCAGGACTTCCACATATGACTTTAGAATTCAAGGCATTCAGATATGACTCTAGAAATTAGTATCTTCCGATATGACTCTAGTGTTCCTCAGGATTCATGTCAGTAATTATCGACCATTGTTGGCAACTTGTCAAGAGATCTGTGTGCCTTAGTAATCAGTCAGAATGTTATCATGTGTTCAATAATGTTGAACTTTCTCAGTGATCAGATGTCGCCCCGTAGGGAACCCAATTACCCGGTTTTTACTAAGGCACAACAGTCGCACAGTTTCACGACTATCAGGCTGAGAAATATTTCGGGCAGGGAGATTCCCGTATCATGGACGAGTGGATTTAGAACCTTAGAAAGGGATCAAGTTTAAGAACTCTAGATTCAATTCTAGATTTACTCAAGTCAAGTTAGCAACTTGTCAGGAGATTTGTAAGCACTTGTGCTAAACAAATCTTAATAATCATGTTTCTAAGATATTTTTATCGAGAACTGCCATTTTGTCAATCAATTGGCAGACTTCAGGGAGAAATTCCTTGATTTAATTCGAGGAATAGACTCAAATTTCATAAGTCAGATCAGTAAATCATGTTCAAGGCAAGAATCTTCATGTTAAAGGTTGTTATAATTCTCAAGTCATTATTAAGGTAACGGTTTCCAGTGTATAAGAGTCAATAGTCTGGGTTACCATGGAGGCTTGAAATAATAGCCATTCAGCCGGGTATACCATGGAGGCTTGAAGCTGAAACTGGAGCAGTATGATTTCATGTAATAACAACCCTTCAAGTCAGTCATGTCAGATATTTTATCAGTCATGATATTTCAAGTTATGATTTTTCAAAGATCAAGATCAGCTAATTACTTTGTACTTGCGGGACCAGTTGATGCTAGAGCAGCCCTATACAGTACAGAGCTATAAATTCATGTTCATGATTTACAGTTTATGTTCATGATGTAAGGTCGATGTATAATAGTTGTTCAGCCGGGTTAAATGTGGCGGTCTGATATACAGACCATTAGTCCAAATTTATCTGGAAACTTGAAGTCGTACCTTATCAAGTCAAGTAAGTCAGTAAATATCACGTTTTCAATCCCGAATCGACTATTTAGTTGTCTCGGGAAGTTTTCAGAGTTCAGATAAAAAAGATTCAGACAGGTAAGATTCAAGTCATGGTCATTCAGTTATATGAATATTCAGGCCAGTCATGTTAAGATCGAGGATAGTATGTCTAATAAGACAAGACTTATCCATCATTTTCAGTATATCCGCGCCTCGAGTCTCAAATTCTGAAGAAACTGAGAAATCGAAGGAGATATTCATTCATGATGGACTTCTTCTTGAGGTTAAGTTTAACCTCGAAAGGAGTAAACAATTGCAGGTACCACAGGATGACATACGCCGCGACGAAGAAGGGCCAATCGATAGCAAAAGATCGTGCCATGACGACAACCCGACGCTTTCCATTCAAAGATGCCATGCTTGCGTCACAGTACACTGGGAGATTACAGAGAGTTAGTATTAACGTACATTGAGGTTACTAGCTTGAGGTATAAATACGATCAGATTACGTCGACGGCGCAGGTGCATGTTGGAACCCACGAGGATCTAG